CACACACACACACACACACACACACACACACACACACACAGGAACTGGCTTCTGGACCAGCTAGACCCCTCAGATATCTTTGTGACTTTGCTAAGTCAGGTCAAGAGTGACTGAGCCACCTCTCTCTCAGGTCTTTATTCTCATTCCCATGGGCAGGGTTTTGTCAGAAAGCATACATGCAATGATCAGTAATGGCTATTGGGCCCTTACCTCAATGCCCGCAGCTTCTGTCCCATAGTCCAGGGTCTGCAGCGAATGTTTGCCATGAGATCTTTCTGGAACTGTATATTCTGGAAGATTTGTTCCGGATCATTGCTGTCCCCTGTTTCATCAGCACTAAAGCTGTCATCCAAGTTGCTGAATGATCAGGGCATTAAAGAGGAAATCTGATTAGTAGAACTGCTTCCAGCAAAGATCATCTTGCCCTGGGCACAAGTTCTCACTGCTCTAGGGTCGTATGTATGAAATGTGTATGTGTTTGTACGTGTGTGTGTGAAGGGAGGGACCCACAGAGACAGAGAATCTGGCAGTGTCACAGTAGCCTGTTGAAACACACTTATTGGATTCAATTACTTCCACTGGGTCATTAAAAGAGAATGATTTCCCAGCGTGGATGATACTATGAGAAAATGCAAGATGAGACAAGAGGGTACTTGTGTCCTCTTTGATGCTGAATGGCAGCAATTTGGGTAGGAAAAATAATTTCTTTTTCACGCTCAATGAAATAATCAGCTAATATTAGAGGCAGGACTCCTTGTTCCCGAATTCTGAAGGTAACATAAGCATAAATAAAACTTCTGCCACTCAGAAACCCCTCTTCACCCTTTCACTTCAATTCATTTTAAGCCTGAGATAACAGAGGCAGAACCAGGCAAAGCAATTTCTATGAGCAAAAAATTAGCTAAGCAGATTTACACGGACGAGATATTTCAGGGAAGTAGGGAATCTCAAGAGTAATTTCCCAACAGGTAGCAACGTTTACTCCCAGTTACACTTAATATGCTTATCCTAATGCAACATTTTGAGAGGAGATAAGAGGATTCATCTATGACTACTGGAAATAAAAGATTTTCTTTGTTATTCTCTAATTCAGGTTGTTTTTACTCATTTAGAGGAGAATCTTTTTCAGTTTCTCCAAATTAAATGGCAGTTGTACTAGACCTTTATAAATATTTAACAGATTCAAATAACACTCTCATCCACTTCTAACTAAATAAAGCCTGAAGGCTTTTCCAATAAACACTTTATCATAATAGACATATTATCCGTTCTCTTGACACTGCTGATTGAGTGAACATAGAGAAAAGAAGGAAACGGCCAGAAAAGAAGGAAAAGAAGGGTTTGGCCAGCCATAAAGCCAGGTTGGGATGTAAGCTTTTGGATTCTGACCTCCTGGTCAAGAAGCGACCCAAAGAACCATTTCCCTCTATGCCCATTGCTGAAGTTGCCACCCTAATTGTACCACAACCTGGAGAAGTGAGTTTCTGAGTTCATTCCGAAGGACAACTGAGCAGGACAGGGACTTTGTCCCTAGCTCTGGCGACCCATGCGTCCCTTCCTCACATACCTGACTCCTCCGCCCAGCTGATGAATAGGGCCAGCTCACCTGAGCAGCAGAGAGTCCTGGTAGAGGTAGCAGTGGCTGGCATTTCTCCGGATGCCTCTATAGCGCTGGGATGCCTTTGAGGATTTCATGGGAGCTGACCCACTGCTAACGATCAGAAGTGGCCACAGAGCTGGGAATTGGCAGGCAAGGGTCTGCTCCAAGGTTTCTGAACGGAAGCAGTGGAGTTTGCTCTGCCCGCCAGTTCTCAGGAACAAGACTGTGTGCTTGCAGCTGGTGCTCTGAGCAGGGAAGAAACCAGGAGGCCAGTCATGCATATGTAATGTTGAGGTGGCTGCAGCCACACAGATTGGCTGCAGTCTAGGCAGCCAAAGGTTTCGCCTGGTGATGTATGGATCACTTGTTGCAGCGCAAATGATCACATCCGTAACCCCTTACGCCCTGACAGTCCTGGATGGTTTGCAAAACACTTTGCATCTATGACCATGGCTAGTGTTCACAAAACACGAAAGGAGTACAAAAGGCAAGGCTTACTCTCCCCGGTCTTCTACTCTCATCCAAGAGGCTTTGAGACAGTAAGGATCTTGCTTGTGTTCGTACAGTGGGCTTCAGGAGAGGCATAGCCTTCACATTTTATTTTTTCTTATTTTTTTCTCAACTTAGTTTCTATTTTGAAAAAAAGTCAAACCCTCAGAAATGCTGATGGAATAATACCAGGAATATCTGTACACTCTTAACCTAGATTTACCAGTTGCCACATTTTGCCACAATTGCTTTATTTATATCCCCACCCCCCCAACACCATTTGAAAGTAGATTGCAGAAATAATGACACATCAACGCTAAGTCCTTTCAGCAAGATATTAATAATAATCAAATTGACATCACATTTTACCTTTATCATGCATGGTCACATTCTCAGCATGATGACTCTGAGACTGAGGCTTAAAGAAATAAAGAGACTTCTTATAGCATCTGGCAAGAAAGGAAGCATTTGACTGAGATTAGACTCTCACCTCGATATTCTGAAAATAGGTTGCCTTATGTAAAATGGGATGAGTAGCTCATCCTAGTCCTTCAGCAAAGGTCAGCAGCTTCCCCTCCCTTTCCCCAGCCATCGGCAAAATGGCCCGGTTCCTTTGTCACTTGCAGACTCTCACTGTTAGCCATGCATTGGGATTCTCTGCCAAGAACCTCATTCCCAAGTCCAAGACTTGCCCCAGTTTTGCAGTGTGAGCCTCTATTTGCTACTTAACATGAGGAAGGGTTTGGTTGCAGTGAGGTTAATTTCACCTTTGTAGTAACTGAACGTGAAGGTGCAGGACTGAAGTAGACATGACCCTTTCTGTTTAACGTTACCTACTGTGCACTGAAGACTCAACAAATGGGTGAATAGATAACTGAAGTGGACACCAGACAACAGAGCAGAAAGAAAATCCATCTGCAAGTTCAACTGTGGAAGTTCGGAGAGAGACTTCATTCATTTGTCCATTCAGCCCTCCACTAATTCATTAGCAAATAATTGGATGGCTCTTACCATACACTGAACTGGCAAATGTAAGCAAGATCCCTAGCCCAGGGGTTCAGGGATCATCAGGCAAGTGTTCAGACCTAGGGCTGAAAGCATGGGAACGAAGTGGAAGGCTGAGTGCTGAGCTGGCCTTGGGTCAGAGATGGATCCAGGGCCTCTGGGACCAGGTTGTCTGTCTGCCAATTTACTTGAGGCCATTTGGCCTGATGCTCTATCTGGTAACATCAGATAAAATGTGTGCTTACCAAATGGACAAATGCCTTATACAATAGTATTACTGCTAGCCCCACTGGGATTTTTTGCATTCTTTCAGAGATCTTTACTTATCTGAATCATTCCTGAATATTTCAAAGATATTTTTTCATCCTTTTTCTAAAGCCCTCCAGCTTTAAATATTTTGAAATATTTACTCAAAAATTTAAAATATTTTATATTAATCTCAAGTATTTTCAGTGTTTTTGTTTCCTTTTGATGTTATATTGCAGGGAAAGGTAGTAGCAAATCTTGCAGTGCTACAGGGATTTATTAAAACAAATTAGAGGAAAATCAGTCTTCTTTAAAATTTCATATTCAGGTAATTCTCTCTGGCACTATAGGTGAGATAAGCGTCAACCTTAAATAATGAGATTCAGAAAATTAATTCAGAGATTAGGACTAGAGTTTATCTGAACACAGAGTTTGAGGGTAGCCACCCAGGAACCACCAACTCCACACAAATGGGATCAGCATTCCAAAGTGGAGAAGTTAAAGTTTTACTTTAGAGACAGAGAAAGTTTAGCAGGATTACATTTTCTATATGAGACCAGTACATACGTTTCTGTATGAGACCCATACATATGGTTATGGATTGCTGCATTCTAAGGGAGATGACTTTGTCACTCTGTGAGAAGGGCTAGCGATCCGGGTGTGTTGAAGGGCATCTCAGCTCTGATGCCATTCGGCCTTTCTAATTATTTACAGGGAACAAAAGGCAGACGTTGCGGCTGTGTGCCACATGACTCGGGCTGCAAAGCCACATTCCTCTCAAGGCTCAGAATGATTTCAAGTTCCAACAGCATTGTTTAAATTAATTTTAATAATTAAGTAATTTATTGAAACTAAATGAAGACAGGTTGAATACAAGATATTTAACTCTAGTTTTAACATTCAAATCATAAACTATCTGAGATAATTAAATAGGAAATGCAACTTTTGATATGAATCAATTGTCTTAGCTTTTTGCCTAATTTTGAGGAAATGTTTATTTCTAAACATTCTTACTATGAAGTTAATGCATAATCCTCAAGCAAATGGAAATAGGAAAATTAGAAACAGCAAAAACCACCTAGAACAATATTGCTTAATGATATTAACCATGAATCTTTTCAGCTTTTTACAAGGGCATGTTTTTCTTTATATTTATATATTTTGTGACTGTACTGTATATGTGCGCTTCTCTTACCTTTTCCATTGATTTTATACTTAAAGCAATTTCTATGTTTTTAAAAAGTTTTCTGTGGGCATATGTTACCAGTATGCTGTTGAGTGGTATATTCTGTGTAGGATATGAAGCATTTAACTCTGCCCCATTTCCCAAACATCCATTTTGTTCTCCCTCATACCTTTTGTTTGTTTGGTTTTGGTTTTTTGAGACGGAGTCTCACTCTGTGAGTGCAGTGGTGCCATCTTGGCTCACTGCAACCTCTGGCTCCCAGGGTCAAGCAATGCTCCTACCTCAGCCTCCGGAGTAGCTGGGATTACAGGTGTGCGCCACCATGCCCGGCTAATTTTTTTTCTTGTAGTTTTTTAGTAGAGACGGGGTTTCACCATGTTGGCCAGGCTGGTTTCGAACTCCTGATCTCAGGTGATCCACCCGTCTCGACCTCCCAAAGTACTGGGATTACGGGCGTGAATCACTGCAACCAGCCCCTCCCCCACTTTTTTTGGTCATTGATATTTTCTGCTTTTAGCATCATTTCTATAGATTTAGTTTTTCAGAAGTGAAATTATTAGATCAAAAAGGATATTATTTGAGAAAATTCAATGTTGTCGAATGTTGCTCCCTTTACACTTATATTGATTTAATGTGCTTTTATTATTAATGGTAAAATAAGTTTTTAATCAAAAGTTCACATTTGTCTACAGTCTGTTTATGGTTTCCTTGATCTAATTTTTACAAATTCCCTCTAATTACCCCACCCGGCACTCATGTGGGCAATGTGTTCAAGGCAAGGCTGTGATTGCAGCCTCTCTTTCTCCAGCACAAAGGACTTGGACGCCCTTCCCCATTTCCTCTCTAGACTGCTGTTTCTCTGGGTGCTGAAGGGCCAGGCAGAAAGAAAACATTCAGAGGACGTTGCTTTCTGAATGCAAGGAGATGAATTACTCTGCATGCATTGACTTCCTCTGAGAATTTGATTAGAGATTTTAGATGTGCTGGATACGTTTAAGTTAAGCCAGAATTTGTACGTAGATAAAATGACTAAAAATTCAAAAATCAAAAAGGTTCCAAATAGTGTCAAAATGGGCTAAAACTATTATTTCCTAGATCCACTGCTTACAGGATCTATGGGGTGAGAGAAAGAAGGTAGCGATGGAGGTAGAGTTAGCCAGTGAAGAACTAATTGTGTAACATATGAATCTCGTTTGGTTCTAAAAATGAAACAAAGCAACACTAAGATTTAGTTATAAATCCCAGAAGGTTTTAACAGAAATGATCCAATGGCTTAGCTTACAGGGACAAAAACATTTATTTTCCATGTCATCAATTACAGAATTGTTTTCCTGCTAAGTGAATTCTATTCTGAGAAATTAATATTCCTGGGTACATCCTAAAACTTCTGTGTGAGTCCAGTGTGTTCCATCAGCAAAGCCAAGGTCTCTTAGTTATCAAATTTTCAGCTCTGGATTTTGCACCATCTTTCCCATTTCTGGGATATATTTACACCTCTGTTATATTGTTTTAGCAACTCCAAAAGTTTTGCTTGAAGTTTAGAAATATGTTTTGGGTTTGGAGAATATTTTTTCAGGGAAGATGCCCAAGAAGAAATTGTTTTCAATTATCTGAGTAACAGTTGAATTTGTTGAGGCCTGAGAACAATTTTTATTTTTATTTTTGGATTCCACATGAAATCATCAGTAGCAAATACGTTTGAAACTGCACAGACCCTCTGAGATTTCCCTTGGGGTCCTGTGATACTCTAACTCTGTTATATCTTTAGAAAGTAGTCAGAGATTCATAGACGGGTTGGGGTGTCCTTTGGTACATTGGCCCTTACATTAAGTGAAGATAGATTGTCATGACCACAATAGAATCCTTTAAGAAGAGGAACAGATCATCAGCTAGGTTGCAGTTGGGATACAATTATGACAGTGCCCTGTCCCGTCAGCTGTTAAGCTTCCTTAAGGAATGAGATTACTTTTCAGGTATGAGCCTATGTAAATACAAAATCTGTTCTAGGAGAAGGAAAAAAACTGAAGAGTCTAAAAAATGGGGGTAAAGGAAAGAAGCTGAATTCCTCGTCAAGCAACCAACTAGTAACTGGCTGAGAGGTTTTTTAAAAAATGATTTTTAGATTGTATTTTCCCAAGTATTTGGGGAATATTAGAAAATACAGCCAACGTCTCTCACAAGGGATGAGCTCCTCTCAGCATTTCTTCACGTCCATACAGAAATGTTATGTCTCCATCAGCAGATGGAAGCCATCTGGGATCAGCTGAGACAGCTAAGCAGAGCAGATTTCGGACAAAACTGTATTTATGATACATTGATCTGCCACCAAAATACGAAGTTTATCATGTTTTGCTCTGGTCTCAATGTAATATTTTAAAGCCCCTTCTTTTAGGAAAATTATCTTCATCTTTTTCTTCAATA